CTGCTCTGGCTCTGCACCGCAGCAGCAGCCAGGGGGAACTCTAGGTTCCCCCTGAGTGCTAGTGCAGGGGCTGGCAAGGAGCATGGGGCCACGAGACAGTTGTCTTCTGGCAGGGGCTGGGAGATTACTCTGTACCCCTGGGAGCTGCCTACTACCAGGGCAGGCTCTCTGGTGGCAGAGCCTGGGCAGGGACAATATTCCCCTGCCCCAGAAGCAGGGACCTTCTGACCCCAGCTCCCCAGTCAGGGGCAGGGGGCTTGGAAAGAGCTGCTGGGAAGGGGCAGGTCCCAGCCCCAAGCCCCGATCCTTCCACAGGGCGACTAGCAGTGAGCCTCCGGCTCATAGCTAACTCACTGCCAGCTGCCCCACTGGCAGATAGGGGTAGAGGGTTGGGAACTGCTCCTCCCCCACAGCTTCTTCCAAGCCCCATGCCTTGTTTGCCAGATCGGAGCATGGGGCTGGGAAAAAGCTGCAGGGCTAGGACCTGCCCCAGACTGGGACAGTTCCCAGCAAGCCCCACGCTGAGCAGGGAACTCTCCCTGTGCAGGGAGCTCCCTGCCCCCACTCTATGATCATGATTGCAGACTGGGGCAGGAAGCAATCTCCCAGCGGGCAGGGGGACATTGTTCCCCCCCAGGCTCTGGTGGCACAGCTCCCCCAGCAGCAGGGAGTTCCTAGAGGCAGGGAGCAATCTCCCACTCCTGTCAGCCATCTACACGTGCCTTACTACCCAGTAATTATGTGGCAGTTAATTTTCTACTTGCATATGCAAATTAACTGCTGAGTAGAGAAAATGACTGTGCAGTAACAGTCTACACATGTAGACATGTTTATTACACAGTATTTTGCTCTACTGTGCAGTAAAGCATCTTGTGTAGATGCACCCAGTATGCGAGAGGTGAGATTTTTTGTGGGTCATATATTTATTGGATCAACTACTTGGTTAGGATAGATTTAGACAAGCTTTTGGGTATTGCCATCAGATCTTGCAGACCAGAGGAAGTGTACTGTAATACCTAAAAGCCTGTCTAAGTCTATTTCAGCCATGCAGTTGGTCCAATAAAGGATATCACCCAGAAAAATTCTTGCTTATTTCCTGGACTATCATGGCTACAACATCCCTTCAATACTACCAGAAACATGCTCACTTAAAAAGCCAGAACTCAGCTACAACCATATTAAAAACAGTTGAAGGGGAGAAAAAATGAGAATATATTCAACTTGTAGTCAACTTATTCACTTAGAGGAGAATATGGGATAGTAAGAAAATTAGGGCAGCTGCTTACCTGTTGTTATGATGGTAGCTCTATAAATAGATAAATAGGTGGCTGGCTAGATAAATGCGTTTATGAGAAAGGTTATACGTATCCTAACAAAGGACTCTGTATAGCAACGTAGATAGAGCCAATAAATAGTGAATATCTCCTCAAAACCTCTTCTGGAAAAGTTCTATAGAATTTAATACGGATAAAGCTAATAGAGAGAAAAGATCTTCTGATTTAAGCACCAGACTAGGGCTCCAGGGATATGGTTCGTTTTGCCACAAATTCCTTGCACAACCTCGAGTCATGTGGTGTGTACTTTCTAAAACAGGAAGACTTTCCATGGTGCCAGCTACACATAGTTAGCACCAAACTGTCACAAGAATCCAGATCACATTTAGTCAGCTCAGTGTTGTTTCTGGATTTTCAAAATCACTCAGCACCTAAAAGGGGCTGCTGGGTGCACAACAATCCTGAAAAATCTGGCCCCAGTTGTGGGTACTGTGTCTTTCCAGCCCTAATATCTCTAGGGGTATGGATAGGCATGTATTTGGTGCTGTAAGTGCTGTATCATTTTGAAGAGCTACAAAACTGTATTGGTAGGAGGGGCAGACAGATATGCAGATCCCCTGTCTCAAGCACTATATAGTCACCATGAAGGCGTTAGTGGCATACAGTCTGGCCAAAGAACAATAGGGGGTTGTTCTGCCCTCCTAACCTCTCCCACTAGGAGCCTGCTACTTGCCAGGATGCTTAGTGAGCAAAGCTGGAGTTCCAGCCTGAGACTGGGAATGGGACTGGGACTGGCAGCTGTACTCACCACAGGTGGGCCTGGTCTCAGTATCATGCTCACTGACAACTGCAGCCCACCTGGGAGCAGGCTGCTAATGAGTGCCAGGCCAGGATCACAGGGGATCAGCCCCTTTGACAGTCTGGTTCCAGCTGGGTAGCTGCTCTGTTCACCTCAAGCAAGTCTGGTGCAGGTCCTGTGTTCATTGACAGCCTAGTTCTGTGCAGAGCAGGGGGAGGGCGCAGGCCAGTGAGGGAGGAGGCAGTGGCTGTGCACTCTTCTTCCCGCTTCTTGGAGCACAGGGTGGGGGAAGAGCAGAGTGCAGTGAGATATTGAGGACTAAGAACACCATTAAAGTGCTACGGTGCAATGCACAGATGTTACATGTGATGCCACAAAATTCAGCACTACACAGAAGTTCTTGCTTCATCTAGGAACATTTCTGCAGCGCTTCTGCCATTTTGTGCACATCTGTCTTCTCCTTTACAAGGATGTTTGCATCGCTACAAACATAAGTCTGTCCATGACCTAGCTATCAGTACCGCATCTGCAAAATGCAAATAATATTACCCTTCTTCCACTGGCTCTGTTGACTATATGGAATGTGAGCTCTTTATGACACGGATTGATTCTTTTTGTCTCAGCATCTAGTACAATGTGAACCTGACCTTGAGTTTTGCCTACCTTAAAAGTTTCATCAATGTCTAAATACAGACTTATATAGATATGCATAGCCTTATAGGTAGTTACCCTTCCTTATACAATTCTATTTCAGGGAAATAATGATAAATTCTATATGATGGTTAAAAGAAGCCTGCAATAGTTTACAACGTTTGTCATATATTATTGGAATTAGGGCTAATTGGCACTTATGAAATAGGAAAGCTCTCTTTAAACAAAAGCTTCCATGTTTCTGTCCTCTTATAGTGGATAGCACAGTTCATTATAATCTATTACAACTGGGGACAAATGGAAGAGACAGAAAACACATGAATTTAGACAATATTTGTATAGATTGCCTATGCATGGAAATGATAAGAAGCCAGATGGTTTATAGGTCTCATTTACAGGATGTCTACACCTTTTCCCCTTTGGCCATGATTCTGATGAACTAAAAAATCACACTTCTTGCTTGATAGTGATGATTAATATTATATGCCTGTCATTAAACTTCTGCATTTTATACATCCTTTTTGCCTTCTGTCAGCGAAGTCTTTGAGGCTTGTAATTTTTTAACTGGGATGAACAGTTGAACGCCTTACAACTCTATTTTAAGAGGAGAATACTATCTAAATTAAATAAGTAGTATATCAAGAAAAGCTATTTCCTATATGAAAACATTCCCTTAATCATTTTAAGAGCTTTCCCCTCAATATTATTACCAATGTTTTAAAATTTTTTGGCCTATATTGGCCACATACTCACTTTTAATTTTTTTCATTTTAATTCATTTCATTTTTCAATCCTGCTACAAAAGTCTTGAACATAGCTCCTTTTTAATTTATTAAAGATCATTAGTAGCATTACAAGGTTTTGTAATTTTGGCTGTTCAGTCATGTGGGAGGTTAGTTACTACCTGTAGGCCTTAGTTGTATAGTTTGGCAGTTAAAATAAGGTTTGAATCAATCTTTACGATGAAATAACAATCATTACAGTTGGATTCAAATCTCAGCTATAACAAATGATGCTCTTATTTGTGTATTTGCTAAAGGCTCTTCTGTAGTATTTGATTACAGAATTTCCCCCCAAAGAACAGATTTTCAAAAGATTTCAGATTTTCATTTTAGTTTGAGGACTTTTGAAAGTCCGGTCTAAAAGGATTGAAAAAATTCAAGGTTTGGTTGACGTTTAATCAAAAAACCCTTTTTTGATTTAGGGGTTAGAAACAATTTCTGTAGCCAAAAATATGAATTAGGCATCTAAACAATGAACATTGAATTAGGCATCTAAACACATCTGAAAATGGTGTTTCAAAAAACAACACAAAGCATTTTCTTTTCAGCTATGCACTGGAAGAAATATTTCATCAGCTAACAATGGACGTAATCTTTACAATAACTGAGGACCAAAGAGAAGTACAGGACTTGCAAAGAAGAGGCTATGCGAGCTATTTGGTTTATAATGAATGTCAGAAGAGAGAAAAGTAGTTGAAAAGATTTCTGGCAAGAGGCGGTAATAAAACAAGAACGTTATTTCAGGCAAAACAAGACCGAGACGCCTTATTTAGAAATTCCTGTTGTACAGCTTTAGCCCAGCGCCCCTCACTCTGAATTGGAGGGTTCAAGACAACAAGACATGCTGCAACCCTCCTTGAAAACCAGCACAGAAGAAATCCTACGTTTAACAAGCGTTTGCCTGACTAAGGAAAGAATGAAAACTGAATGAGGACCTCAGGCTCTAACCCCATATACGTATGTTTGTTCAGCACAATTGATCCAGCCCCTTAAAGCTCTTTACGTGAGCTGTGAAATATGACAGCAAGCTACAATGACTCGAATGGTCTTTGTATATGACAGCATGACCCTGGCCCCTAGCACAAAGGTGAAAACATGTTGCCAAACATCCTGCTAAATCAGCTGCTCTGCTCCTGCACTTATGCATAGCAAGTGATTTTATAATTCACAGGTGGCAAGAGCCCGCGTATATGAGGGCAAAAAGGCACTCTAAGACTCTGGGCCGTATTTATCTCTGGCATAAACTCCATCGGCTTCAGTAAGGTTTATAGTAGGGATGACCTGAGCCCTTTGTTTTCAAACGCAGGCTGTTCAGGTCATGCCATCTTTCTGCAAGGACACAGCTTTCTCCATCTCATTTGTTTCAAAAGAAATGTAACAACAACATTTGACAATAGTGTGAGAGAGGGTCTTTCTGTAGTAAAATGACTCGTGACGAAAGTGCATACAACCCTCTGTTCTTTAGGGACTGGGAATTGGAAGACTTTTGCTCACCTCCCTCATTATCCTTGTTATCAGCACAGGAGGTTTCCATGGCAACATTGCATCCAGGCCCTCTCCAGCCGGTCTGGCAGACACACTGCCAGCTGTTCTGACCGAGTGTGCATCTCCCATTGCCATTGCACAAATCAGGGCAGCCATCTGGTTGAAGAAACAAAGAAGATAAGTACAAGAAACACTGATTCACACTAAGAGTCTACACTCGAGGAAGGTGAAATAGTACCACTGTGCACACAAAAAGCTTAACTCTGGCTGGTGGGACAAATGCCCGCCCGGATGCAGGAAGCGTCTGGTGGTAGGAAAGGTGGGAAATGATACTTAAATTCACATTTCTCTCCCTCTTCTTAAAAAAAGATGAATCCTAGTGTCAGTTTTCTCCTAAATTCAAGGATCTTGCCTTAATTGTTGTGCAAAGAACTGGCAGTTTGCTGACACAGGATTAAATCCTATTTTTTGCCCTTGACATTAATGGCTTTTCAAACAAGGGTTACAACATGCCCCGTGTCTTTTTCTTAGTACTATATCGAATTCTCCAGACCTTCTCTTTACACAAAGTGGGAATAGCAACAATGTGCAGTAACACTGTTTTGAAAGTCTTCCTCCTTAGCAGTCACTTTTAAATGGAACCTTTTAAGGACCCAGCTACTTATGACTAAGACTACTTCGGATTCAGCATGTAACATGTTCTGAAAGATATGTCCGCATGCTTACCTCACAAATGATGTCTATTTTTGACTGACTAGAGTTAGACTCAGATTTCTTGGAGTACAGCTGAATTGGGACTGAAATATTTTAACTACTAGGCTGCCTAGCTGTCCTGAAAAAAAGCCTGAATAATGGGCCAACTTGTCCTGCCACTCAACTTCCTGTAGGTCTCAGTAGGAGGAATTGGATCTGTCTGAATAATCATTTAGATCAGAGGGACAGAAACAAATTCCCTTCCCTGAGCAGAATGAAAGAATAGGAATGGATAGCTAGCAATAAGGGGGGAAGCCTAGGTGACCCTACACACGCAGACACGTCACATCCGATCCACATTAATCCACCTCATTTGAGCGTGTAGGTGAGAAGTCTGGAGATTCAATTGAACAAATTTCTCTAGGATATTACATATAGGTTGATGGGAGAGAACAGAAGAGATATACTGAGGCTCCACACTGGAAATATATAAACTGATCTTGATATGGGATGCAAACCGGACCATTGTGTTTCAAACCTTCTCACTAGTGTCTGAAATGAATTTTGCTATCTATATAACTGCCACAGACCACTGAGTACTCGTTTCTGGTATTCAGTCTTATTGCTGTAGGAACTGGGCAGGACGTTTTACCCTCCACAAAGTTTTGCAGGGTAAATGGGGGTTCCCTCACCTTCCTCTGGGACATCATTTACTGACCATTGTTAGAGGTGAGACCTGAAGGGATCAACGTTTGGTCTGGTAGGGCAAATCACATTTCTTGTAAATATTACTTCTAATTACAGTAAAACAATCTTGGTAGACAACATGATTAAGGGATACCTTTCTGAAGTGCTCCTCACAATAAGTTTGGAAAGTCTTGATGGGAGTGGACTAGGAGGCTGCTATCACATCGTCTTCTTTGGCAAACTATACTCTCAGCCTGGAGGTAGCCTTGCCCTTTGCTTTACAGTAGCACTTCCTGTGCTATTTGGGAGGCTGTGTGTGGAGCAGCATGTATTAGACCTCTTTGTACGTCCCACACTGACCCTAAGCTGTGGCTGTTAATAAACCAATTATTCCAATTTCATATCCCCAATATCACAAGGACACAGTGAAATTAGCTAATTACCCAAGCACAGTGTTGTAGGCTGTTCCTTTATTAGAAAACAGCGAGGGATGCTGTGATGGAAATATCCTGAAAGAAAAAAAGAAAATTACCATTTCTGATTCTGGGCAAAACCTCTCAGAGCAGGGCCATAATGACTGTACATCACCTTTGTGCCTCTTAGACTCTGGAGGTGGCTGGGGACGGGTACAGCCCCTGCTGGAAGCTCTAGCAACTCCAAGAGGAGCTCCAATTCATGCTGCCTACAACACCTCCTCCTGGAGCTGCCCAAAAGAGCTGGAATTCCAAGCCCTTGCCTCCCTTGCCCTCCCACCCCCTGCAATACTCCTGGCTTTGACAGTAGGGCTGTGCACTGATGTTTATGACATAGGTACTGCCCTGGTGATGTGACGTGCCGGCTTCGTGGCTCTTGTGTACTCAGAAAGCTGACATACACCAGAAAACCTAGAATCTCTACAGAAAACCATGGGCGATGCTCTGCATGATTCAGGGTACCCATGCTCCTGTTGGTTTCAGTGGAAGGGGACAGTCTCATTTCTTTTTAGCTGTGTTTATTTTTGCATCTTTCTTTTATATTTTATTTTTTTTCCCAAATGAACAGAGAACTTGTAAAAGACCATGGATTGTGAGCCCTGGAGCATGAAGTCCCTTGCCTACTGACAGAAAAGATACATTTCAGGCAATACCATAAAAGGTTCTTCACATTGTTTGAACCCATATCACTTCTAGTAGTGAACAGGGCACTTCTGTACACATTGTCAATTAGTGTTAACTGAAGTGTGACTAGCAATGTGATCGTGCGTTCTCTATGAATAGACCAAGGCCATCCAACTCATTCTGCACAGCCAAACTATCAGCAGATAGCTGTAAACAAGCCCTACAAGTTTCCTTCCAGTGCTGGAGTTATACATTTAAAGTATGCAATTCCCCTTTTGCTTGAAAGAAAGGTTATTTTTGCATTATAGTTCTTAGCTATAAAATGTTGCCAGCACTCTGCACCTGGTGAAACATATTTTGAAAGCATTTTATTTTATCTTTGTGGCTTGTCATGTTGTTTGAATGACCAAAATGATAATGCATCAAGAGAAGCATCATGCTGTAGGACAAATGATTTGTTTTAAATGTAAAATGAACATTAATTGTGAATATACACTCAGGGTTTGCTTTATATGGGGAAACTGAAGAGAGATAAACAGATCACAGTAGCAGGTTTGCTCCACAACATATGAGTAAAATGAAAACATGAACAGTAGGGAGCCAGCAAAATCTCTGAAAAGTTTTAGGTGCAGCTGGGAATTAATGGACATGACTTTGCTTTTAGCTTGAAGAGTGAAGGAAGCAACACTAGTGCGGGCATGATGTTGCTAGGAAACACTATGCCACCACAGATGAGTTCATTCAATTTGTGCCCTTCCAAGGAGAGACTTTGTGTTCCAGTAACATAAAAATCAGATTTCATTTAAAAAGAAGAAAAAAGCAGAAGAAAGAAAAAGAAAAGGAAAAGGAGGGTGGAGGGTGGAAAGAAGCGTTAAAAGCTTGCACTTGATTAGGCCACAAAATGACATAATTATTTCTGGCATTTTTCTTTTAAAAAGCTGTTAAAATGATGGATATATTTAGTTTTTGAAAAATAGTTTTAAGAGCATAGACAAGTAATGGATACTTCAGATTTTTACTAAAATGTACAAAAAGACAGTTAAAAGAGATCTTCAAATAAATGTTTGCATGATGCTGAATCATTATAGTCTGTTAGGCAAAAAAGGTACTAAGAGCCCCTTTACACAATAGACTAAAATATCTTCATTGTGATCTGTGAAATAATAAGCTTTCTGAAAAGATTTTCTACACAATGTTTGTAGAAAATACTTTTACCCAGAACCCAAAATACCTGTTTTTAAAAATCTGAAATTCTGAACAGGGATTTGTGTAATGACTGATACACAGAAGCTGTCACTCAGTGTTTGTACCTGGCTAACAGGTATTGACACATTTTGGTAAGCTGCTTTAAGAATAGAAATCAGCCCTTGCACAATTAAATAATATTAAGATTCTAACACATAGCAAGGTCCCAATATTGGCAAATGCTCACTACAGGACATGGTACTTTCTTCAATAGGAGCACTCCTGACTGATAGTAAGTGCTTTCTAGATGGTATCACAAGTAATGCTTACCCAGCTTTAGATACATTGAGTTGTACATTATCCCTGAGTACTGAAATCAGTGAGGCTACTCAAGGTGCAGGGCACTCAGTGAGAGTAAGGTTTTCAGAATCTAGCCCTCAAACCTAATTCATCAGCGTGAAGATCTCATAGTATAGAAATGTGCTCTTCACATTGAAAAGACAGGTAGATATTCCTAGTGTGTAGAATTGTTTTACTCATATTTTCTCTT